CACTAGTTAAGAGGTAAAAAAAGGTGATCTATGCCTAAAGGAAGAACCCATTCTTATCTGTGGCTAGAGAGAATGCTAGGCCATTGGCTCACACATGTACCTCAGTTAGAGTGTGAAGACGGAAATTCTTAGATGAAATTAACTGATTACATCCCATGGTGTAGGTAGATTGATATGGAGACAGGAAGAGCTGGTTTTAAAAATTCTGCTTGAGCTATCTGTGTGACCTTGCTTGACTCACTTAACTTCTCTCAGATTCAGTTTCCCCATCCATAAAATGAGAGTAATAATAGCACCTACCTCACAAAATTGTTTTAAGAATCAAATGGGAATGCATGAAAGCATGTTGCAAACCCTAAGCATTAGCTTTTATTATTGGTATACTATTGGCAGCGAGGTGGCGCCATAGTGCACAGAGTGCCTGGCCTCGAGTCAGGAAGACATCTTCCTGAGCACAAATCTGGCCTCAGACACTTACCAAACTGTGACCCTGGACAGGTCACCTGATCCTGTTTGCCTCAGTTTCCCCATATGTAAAATGAGCTGGAGATGGAAATGGCAAACCACTCCAGTATCTTTGCCAAGAAAACCCCAAATGGGGTCACGAAGAGTTGGACACGACTGAAACAATTGAACAACAACATTCTTGAGAATTCTCTACTCCCACACACACCTTGTTTCACATAATTCTTCCCCTTAATTCTCACTGAAAGCTTTTTACACCCTGCTGCAATTTCAGAGAAAAAATTTCACAGCCTCTTAAGCTCTGGAGGTCACCAGCCCAGGCCACCAGCAGGATGAGTGGCCACAAAACTCCAAAGGTTGTTCTTGCTATACTAGCCTTTGACCACAAGGTGGCAGGGGAGGGTCCTTCTCCGAAGAGAACAGCCAGCCCGAATGGGCAGCAAAACTCCGTCTGGGGGAAATCAGGGCTGAGGGAGGAAGGCTCCCGTTCTGGCCCCCGCTCATTCAGGAACGGTGACTGGCTCGCAGTGTCACCGAAGGCACCTTTGCGAGTGTATGTGGGAGGGTTAGATCTACCCTTTGATTGGCTGGTTTTAGTTCGAGGGTTTTCATTCTATGTGATCTTGGGTGAGTCCCTTCACCATTCTAGCCTCAGTTTCCTCATCTGTAATATTGGTAAACCTTGTTACCTCACCAAGATACTGTGAAAATCATGTGATAGAGTGGAAAGTGCACCAGACTGGGAGAAAGAAAGCCCGGGTTCTTGTGGCAATTCTGTCACTAATTTGTTATGGGACATAAGGTCCATCCCTCACCTCTCTGTGTTTGACTATAAAATGAGGCAGCTCAAATAGGACTAAGGTCTAATCCAGTTCTAAGAAATGAGATAATTTGAAAGTGGTTTGAAAATATACAGTACTTTCTGCAGTAATGCCCCATTTAACTGACATCATCGATGAAAGAGGTGTTCCACACATAGTGTATTTCACGTAGTAAGATCCTCAGCATTTGCTGAATTTAGTACATGATTTTTCTAAAGTGCTGAAACCTGGCACTTTAAGTGCCAATTTTTTTTAAATTTAACTACTTCTTATGGAAAACATTTCAAGTATATTATATCATTCCCTGCCCATCTACAGTACATTGAACTTAATTTGTGTTAAGAAACATCCATTACTAGGATACAGCAACACCTGCCCCCACTTCTAGCACTGTCTCCTAGCCCTCTCTCATAATTGCTTCTCATATGCAATAATTCATGAAGAATTAAAGCTGTCCAGGAGAAACCAGACATTTAGGATTTTTTAATTTTAAAAGCAAATTGAAGTCAGGAGGTCTGGGCTGAAGGGTAGCTTTACTTCACTCCTGAAGTATAAAATGCATGTGCTTTGTGCTCATTTTAGTTTTCTTACACATCAAGGCTTCTCCTCTCTCTCACTTACAGAAGTGTTCTAAAATGCACAGGTTACCAGAAGTCTGAGCGTCCTGAGAATGGGGTTGCATGATCACTATTATCTAACTTCATTCTTATATAAAAGTATCTAGTAAAAGTGTGCTTTCTGAGAAGCAAACTTAATCCTATTCAACAAGGGGCCTTTTAGTTGGGGGAAGAAGTTGTTTGGTTTTTGTCCTGAATTGTGGTGCCAGCCTGGAACAAGCTGTCCTTACACGGTTCAGCTGATGTTTGCTTATAGAATGCCCTGCCCAGCTGGAGTGCCATCCTACAAAGTGCTCCTTGTATGGACAAGTAGAGAACACTCTTTGCAGTCAATCTCCCCTTTACAATCTCCCTAGTTCCAAAGCCAAAAACAAAAAAAAAACACCTCAATATGCAGAAAGTCCATCTTCACCTCAGCCCTGGCCAGTAGCACCAGAGACCACAAACAGAAAACTTTCCTCTGAATCATGGCCAGGGATGCAGGCTGAGTCACATGTCCAAAGCCCGAGCATCAGAATGTGCCTTGACATTCAGCAGAGACGACTGGGAGCATTGTGGGGCGGGGATTTCTGCAGAAAACTTTCTTTGAGCTATGCTCAGAAGAGTGGCCATACCTGCTCATAGTGGCTAAGCTTCCTGGACCTTTCACTCTATCCCAGGCCACAACCTGGAAAGAAGTGAAGACTCTGGGACTAGCACACGAGAAAAAAGGGGAGTAGCAGAAATGGGGAACTCAGAATCAGACCTAATATTGCAGGTGCAGCTGCATCTGAGTGAAGTCCTATCATGATGCTAACTTCCCATTTCTGTTGAAGGCATAGCCATTCTTCCAGATTCACAATCTCCATATCATCTTCAGCTCCCTACTTTTCATCACCCCACATCACACAATAAGTTGTCAAGTCTTATTCTCTAACTACAAGTCTGATCCTAACCACATCTCTCATAACTGTCCACATCTCTCTACTCACACAACCACCACACTAGTCTAGGTCTGCATCACCTCTCACCTGTATTATCTATCTATCTATCTATCTATCTATCTATCTATCTATCTATCTATCTATCTATCTTTCTTTCTTTCTTTCTATCTATCTATCTAATATTATATATTATACATAACATATAATTGTATATAATGTATCATATATAATAATATTACATATGATACATGGTATAATGAACTCTAACAGCCTCCTAATTGGTCTCCCTGTTTTAAGGCTCTGCCTTCTCTAACTCATCCTCCACCCAGTCGCCAAAGTGATTTTCCTAAAGAATAGATCTGACCATGCCACTCCTCTCCCCAATAACCACACTAGCTCCCTATTGCCTCTAGGATTAAATTGGCACATGACATGGCTCCAAGTTATCTTCCTGGGCTTGTTACACATCACTCCCCTTTCTGCCCTTGATAGTCCAGTAAAAAAACCAAGTCTGCTCCTGTTCCTTGTACGTAATATTTCATCTCCTATCTGTGCCCTTGAACAGGCTGTCCCTTGTGCCTAGAATGCACTCCCTCCTCACCTAAGCCTCTTAAAATCTCTAGTTTCTTCTAAAGCTCAGTATAAGCATCACCTCCCTCATGAGGTCTTTTGTGACCTTTCCAGCCACTAGTGCCTCCTCCTGCCCCCCTCAAATTACCTTGTATTTACTTTAAATTTTTTTTTATTTTATTAAATATTTCCCAGTTAAGAGTAACAAATTTTAGCATTAATTTTGGAAATTTTTGAGTTGCAAATTCTCTCCCTCTCTCCCTCCCCTCCCCTTTGACAAAGCAAGCAATATGATATAGATTCTTGTATTTACTTTTTATATAATTTGTGTGTGTACATGCTGTTAGAATGTAGGATCCACAAGGGCAAGAACTATTTCATTTTGGTCTCTGTATCTCCAGTGCCTGGCACACTGACCTTTATTGATAACTGGTGATGTTTATTATCATTACTCTTATTTTCATTATTATTAATGGATGGCATTTACAAAGTGCTTTACATGTTGCAAAGCTTTTTTACATATATTATCTCATTTGAGACTCACAACAATCCTAAGAGCTAAATCCTTTGAGTATGATTTTCCCTTATTTTGCTGATAAGGAAACTAAAGTTCAGAGAAGTTCAATGCCTTGTCGTGGTCAGGAGGGATTCTATAAAAGGTGAGCAGGGAGTACATGTGAGGCATTATGGTGCACGGGAAGAAACCATACAAAGGCATCACCCAGGATAAGGAAGAGGAGTTGAAACAAGACAGTGTTCCTCTGGCCCAGCAATGCCACTACCAGGGCTGTAGCCCAAAGACATCAGAGAAAAAAGAAAAGGACCCATATGTACAACAACATTTATAGCGGCAACTTTTGTGGTGGCAAAAAACTGGAGATTGAAGGGATGCTTATCCATTGGGGAATGGCTGAACAAGTTATGGTATATGATTGTGATGCAATACTATTGTGCTATAAGAAATGATGAGCAGGATGCTCTCTGAAAAACCTGGGAAGACTTACATGAACTAATGCAAAGTGAAGTGAGCAGAACCAGGAGAACACTGTACATAGTAACAGCAGTATTATAATGACAAACAACTGTGAATTGGCTACTCTGATCAAGACAATGATCCAAGATAATTCCAAAGGACTCAAGATGGAAAATACTACCCACCTCCAGAGAGACAGAACTGATGAACTCAGTGCAGATTGAAGCATACTTTTTTTATTTTATTTTTTTCTTGTCTTTTTTTTTTATTTTGCAACATGGCTAATAAGGAAAAATGTTTTGTATGACTCCACATGTGTAACTGATATCATAGAAGGGACCTTGGAGGCCATCAGATCCAATCCCTTCATTTTACAGTTTGAAGCACACAGAGGTTAAGTGACTTGCTCTGGGACATATAGCTAGTAAGTGTCTGAGGAAGGATTTGAACACAGGTCTCCTTCACTCTAAGTCTACCACTGTGACACCTAGCTGAGCACGTTATGTCTTTAGGATGTCTGCCACAAGCTGGCTTCTAGCACATATTCTGAAACAAGCAAAGTTCATTCTCATTGACACAGTACCAAGCTGGCCACTGCCCATGCTAATAGGCTGAACTACCACTCACTCACCTGGCCCCAGTGACATCAACTCCAACCATGAGCTGCCCGTTGAGGGAAAGGATTTCATCCCTCAGCCTCACTTTGCCACACTTCCCAGCAGGACTGTTCTTCTTTAGCTCGGTCACCCATATGCAGCCCACATCCAGCACCGGGCCCTGGTGTGTTTTCCACTTCTTACCACCTCGCCGTCTTTCACCGTAGTCTCCAAAAACAGGAATGTTCCCAAAACTGAGCCCCACGGTATCTGTGTCCCCCATCTCTTTGGTCAGGTACACAGTGCAGATTTCCATCTCGAGGGGGCTCTGGTCAAGCACAATCGTGCTTTCATCCACAGCGAAGTTCAGCTGGATGTATTCTCGGAGCTTCTGGATGGCAGACTGGCAAAGGCTGTGCTCGGGCCCTCCCTGGGTCTCCTGCAGATTGCTCCGCAGCCACTGGAGAAGGAGAGGGAGATGCAGCCCCGCGTTGTCCTGGGTAATGGGCATGGCGGCCACCCCAGGATGCCACCATCATGAGCAGAAGCACTTCAAAGGGGCCGGAGCCAGCACAGGCCTAAGCCCTTGGGATGTCCTGGCTGTCATCCACTTGGCCTGTTCTCATGTTCAGACAGGCAGGGGACCACGGGGGTAGCCTACGCAATGCTGAGCTGTTGTTGGCCTTGGCAAGGTGAGCACAGGACACGCTTAGCAAAACACTGAAACAATTGCCACAAAGTATTCAACAAGAGGAGGAAGGAAGTGTCAAACAAGTTCTTGCTTGGATGGTCTAACAGCTGCCCAGAAGGGAACTACATGGAAATTAGGTATTCCACCAGAAGTGACATCACCTCATCATCCATACTTATTCACACCTGTGGGGGGGGATGGGGGGGGGGAGAAAAACACATATAAAGTATCTCTGTTAAAAATGAAGGATATTCTTGCCGGGCCACACATGATAAACATTCATAGTCATACAAACACTTTAGGGTTTCCGAAGTGTTTTCCTCACAACAGGCCTATTGAGTGAGAGTGCAAATATTATTGCTTATCACTTACTCTCTCTGTGGTTTGGGGTCTTAGGCTCCTCATCGGTGAAAGGAATCAGACTGGAGGACCAGTAAGGTCTCTTCCGGCTGCAAGTCTTTGGGGGTGACCTTACTGGTCCTCCAATCTGATTCCTTTCACCGATGAGGAGCCTAAGACCCCCCACCACAGGGAGAGTAAGTGAAATATCCAGAATTGGAACCCAGGTCTACCTAGGTGGGGCACTTGGCAGAATGTTGGGCTTGGAGTCAGGATGACTTATTGGGTGTGTGAACTTGGGCAAATCACTTAATCTCCCCTAGCCTCAGTTTTCTCAATAGCAAAATGGGGATAATAGCACCTACCTCACAGGAGGGTTGTTGTTAAGATCAAATGAAATAACATAAATAAAACACTTTGCAAATCCTAAAATGCTACATTTTTTGTTGTTGTCCAGTCATTTCAGTCACGTCCAACTCTTCGTGTCCCCATTTGGGGTTTTCTTGGCAAAGATGCCAGAGTGGTTTGCCATGTCCTTCTCCAGCTCATTTTATAGAGGAGGAAACTGAGGCAAACAGGGTGAAGTGACTTGCCTGGAGTAAGTGTCTGAGGCTGGATTTGAACTCGGGTCTTCCTGACTCCAGGCCTCATGCGCTATCCACTGTACCATCTACCTTCCCTAAAATGCTATATAAATGTTAGCTATTATTACTTGTGTGACCCTAAGCAAGTTCCTTTACTTCTCTAATTCTCAGTTTCCTCATCTGTAAAAAGAAATGATCTTTCAACTCTAAATCGATGATCCAAATCTATGGTTTATTTTATATTACTTCCTTTCATAAACCCTGCATTTCAGCCAAACTTGTCTCCTTGCTGTTCCATGAACAAGACACTCCAGTTCTCAGCTCTAGATATGTTCTCTGGTTGTCCCGCATCCCTGGAATGCTCTCCCTCCCCATCCCTGCCTACTGGCTTCCTTTAAGTTCCAACTAAAATTTCCTCATCTACAGGAAGCTTTTTCCAACCACTCTTAATTCTAGGGCCTTTCCTCTGTTAATTATTTCCTATTTATCCTGCAAATAGCTTGTTTATACATATTAGTTGGCTTGTCTCCCCTCTCCCCTGCATCTTCCCCCACTTAGATTGTGAGCAACCGAGGCCCACTGTCTTTTACCTCCTTCTATAGCTGCAGTGCTTAGCACAGCACTTGGCCCATAGTAGGTGCTTAATAAATGTTTATTGACTGCCTGATTGCTGTTTTCTATACATGATATTCCACCTCTTCCTTTGATGCCTTTGCCTCTCCCTTACCTGAAATATTCTTTCTTTTTTCCTTCTCATCTTAGAAACCCTGACTCCTTTCAAGGCTCAGCTCAGGTACCTTTGGTACCCACTTTCCCCTGCATGAGACCTTTTCTGGTCCTTTCCTAATTATTTATGCTCACACTCCCCCCCATTACTTTATATTTAATTTCCATATATTATGTATTTATCTGTGTATCTGCCCCCACCCAGTAAGCCCCTTGAAAACCATGAGGGTTTCATTTTTGTCTTTGTATATATAACCCAGTTCAGCTCTACCTCACTTAAATCCAATTCACCTGCAAGTCAAGACAACACCCTCCTGATGTCATCGGCCCTCTTTGAAAACGAAGGGTGAGCAACAGCAGCACCATAACCTAGTACCTTGCAATGTTTCATTCAGTCAATAAACATTTAGTACAAAAATGATTAATTATATCATTATAATATATAATTATCATTATATTAATTGTTACATATAATTTATTTTGTAATATATTAATTGTGTGTAATATACATAATGATATGTCTGTGTCTGGCACACAGAAGGGGTTTAGTAAATGCCTGAGGAATGAATAAACAAATAAATAAATAAATGAGCTTCTCTCCCCTAAAATCCCAAAGAATATATGAAGCCAGTCAACCAATGAAATGGGTAGTATGGTTAGGTGGCCTATAATTTCCTTGCCCAAAATCAGTGACCTCTAATGACCCTTCCTATTTTCTGATTCCATTGTGAGTGAATGTAAGGGAAATCAGATAATCTGTGTCTATTATAATGATTGGAGATAATTAAAGGCATAAAGACCCCCAGCTCAATTTATCAAATACCCTAAGTCAATATGCAAGGGAAACCCTAGAGAAAAAAATGGCCAACTCCAGAGCATTGGAGGACTTGGGCCCAGAAGGCCCTCGCTCCAAAGAGAGATCCAAACACGACCACCCACCAATAATCAATATGTGAAAATTCTCATTCCTGCCTCCAACCAGAGCTTTTCAACAACAGAGAACCAGCAGGCACATTCCCATGTGAGATGCTGTGGGTGTGTAGTTTCTTTGTCTGTCATGTGTAATTCTCAAATTAGATTTTCCTCCAGGAATGCTTCAACCAGACTCCACCGTCACGCAAATGAATTCTGAGTAGCTTGATGTTGACAAGCTTCTCATCCAAAATCTGAGTTTACGTTGGGAAGGCATGTTGTCAGAATGTAACCGCTCTCTCAACTTTTCCCCTGCCAAGGCACTGGACTGCCCGCACCTGGGCACTGAGGCCCATGGCAGGGAAGGGAGGGCCACAGGACAGAACAAGCTAGGATCAATCAGTCCCTGTGACCAACTGTTGGCAGACAGTATTCAAAAGTCCTTGGGCTGAACCAGGCCTTGTGTCAGAGTCAGATACTCTGCTAGCAAGGTCTCTGATTCCTGGTTACCGCCTACTGTGAGCTAGGCTAAATGCCCATCCTTTAATCTGGCCTTGAATGCCTGCATTCCAAATCTTCTCCCCATTCTGTTCATTGTTCCCTTTTTGTCTGGGTTCAGAATTGGGCTAGGTTCAGAATTTTCAACTGGAGGAGGAGGTTAGGAAGGGCCTGTCAACAGATACCAATGAGGTATATGAGGAAATATGACACAGGGTTAAGAGTTCCTTCAGTGGGTTTGGAATTAACTACAAGCTGGGGTCAAAACTGGGAGACACAAGCTGAAGGTGAGTCAGGGCCTGGGATGTAGGCAAATGTATCCCAGAGGTATGCTAGTAAATATTTAGAACCAGGTCTTTAAAGGGAAAATTATATACCCTTTTAAGTGAAATCTGCCTTTTTTATGTTTTCTCCATCACTTTCTTAAGTCTAAACAATCCACAAAACAATAAATCAAGCCCTGATTTGTAGCATTTACCAGTTTCCGAGACATAAATGCTTACGCTGAAAATATAACAATCAATCAATTCAAGCTGGCTCTAGCACACCACTGGGCCTTAGCTGCCTCCTTGGCGTGGAACTCTGCCAGGAGAGATGAAAGGTCACAGATGGGAGCCAATGCTATGTGGCTGGAGGAGCTGATGTATACATGGTGCATGATCCAGATCAGAAATGGATAAAGTGACAAGTAGGGATGGGCCAGGCCAAAGGTGGACTTCTCCTAGTAGGGTTAGTTGTCTCCCAAAGAGGCCCTTTTATCAGGCAGCTCAATTCAATTCACTTCAACAAAAATCTCTTTAGCATCTTAAATTTTGCTAAGGCCCTGAGGAAGATAAACAATTTAAAAAAGACTGAGCCCTCATGGAGCTTACAGTCTAAGAGGAATAAGATACAAACACAAATAACTATGGATACACAGTATGACATGAGTGCATTGGAGCACTACAAACTCCTGGTTTCTGGACAATCCTACATTGTAGGAAGCATTCCTGTCTTAGAAGTAGATGTGTGGGCAGCTAGGCGGCACAGTGGATAGAGCACCAGCCCTAAAGTCAGGAGGACCTGAGTTCAAATCCGGCCTCAGACCAAACACTTGACACTACCTGTGTGACCCTGGGCAAGTCACTTAACCCCAACTGCCTAAAAATAAAAATAAAAAAATTGCTAAAAGAAGTAGATGTAGAAGGGGTCTTAAAGGTCATCTAGTCTGTCCTGGCCTCAAAGAGACAGAGCAACTGGACACCCATCATCAGGGCAAGGGACTGAATCTATGAATTCATTGGTGCAGGGTGAGGAAACCCCCTGTACCAATGCAAGACCAAACCCTCTCTACAACTAGACATTTAAAGAGTTTCACAGAACACTGAAAGGTGACTTGTCCAGGGTCACCTCGCCAGGCTCTATCAGGGGCAGGGCTTGAAGCCAGGACTTCCCAGCTTGGTGATTGGCTCTCCAGCCACTATTCCACGATGTTTCTCTGTGTAAGTCACACAGATGGAAAAACAGATTCAGAAGGATGCAAAGACCTCAGAAATCAGCCTTTCAGTCAATATCACTTCTTGAGAGTTATATCTATTTAGATTTGGAGCCAGATCACCTGAGTTCAAGTCCTAGCTAGTTCTGTCACTGGCTGTGTGCCCCTGGAACATTCACTTAATTTCATTTTTTTGGTTATTGTTGTTGTTTTTTTAGGCAGTTGGGGTTAAAGTGACTTGCCTAGGGTCATACAGCTAGTAAGTGTCAAGTGTTTGGTCTGAGGCTGGACTTGAATTCAGGTCCTCCTGACTTCAGGGCCCAGTACTCTATCCACTGTGCCACCTAGCTTCCCCCATTCACTTAATTTCTCTGGGCTGCTTTTCTCATCTCCAGAATAAGAATTGGACTAGCTAACCTTGAAGGTTCCTTTCGGCGTGGATATTTACAATCCTGTGAGCCTAGAGAGATGTGACTAATATGCTCTTATTTTCATCAGATTCGTAATGAGAATAACAGGGATGACCAAATTCAGCTGGGACAGACCAATCTGAGCCCTTGAGAAATGCTTTGAGACTGTAGACACTGCCTCCTTCCACCAATTCACCCCCTAGGGTCACCCCCAGGGGTCAGGCAGACTCCTGTGCCAAAGC